AAGTCACTTAACTGTAAATCAGTCCCTGGGCAGTCCTGTCATAACACAGTCACAGGTGTCATTAGTTGTTTGGGAGACAGCTACCTGCTTCGGAGCACTAAATTGACATTGTAGCAGCTGAGCCCCTCCTGAGGCAATGGGTAAATTGGATTCTCTTGCAGAGCTGTTTGCGCAGGGAGCTCTCTCATGGTAATGTTTTTGTTCTGTGCTTGGCTGGATCTAAATTTACAAAACTCTTCACCGTGTCTAATGTAATAAAGAAAATGAAAATGACTTTAGGCAAGTTCCAATTAAAAAGGTACACTTGAGACATGGTTAATTAGTGGAGTTAGGAGTTAGCTTAACTGCGGTTCTTGCGAGCAAGTTAATAAACAACAGCGATGCTTTGATTGCCATAATAACATGGTGTCAGGGGTAACCCTGTCTAATTGTTTTGTCATATTGAAAAGTTGCATTAGCTAGAATATAGCACAAAGACCAGTATGTCCATTTTCCTGTTTCTATCTGAAATCACTATAAACCTCCCACTTTCCAACAAGGCAGCAACACCTTGCACCAACATTTGGATCAGCATTTTCACATTTTTTTAATCCAAATCTACAGTATATTAATGCTGTTTACCTTCAAGGCGCTCTTGCGAATGTTCAGCTAACAAGATTAGGGTTAAGATTAAACATTTAGTTTTTATAGCCCATATCTAGGTCGCTAGGTATTAATCGCTAGGTCTGTAATTCAGCTTTTTACAGTTTCTTTCAGAAAACTGAAACTGTGGTAGAGTGGTAACCTTATGTCTATGGAGCATAACGTTTTGAAGATTACCTGGTGTCCAGTCAGTATCATGGGAAAACCTCAATGGCATGATAAGAAGAAGTTTGCTGTGTTTAGACACACATTCAATTTTTCTTTTGTCTCTACTTGAGAGCACAATTTAATTTAGAGGTATGACCACAGTTTACATGAGTTTACATTAAACACTCCTTTAATGCTTTTTTGAGGCCTAACTACTAGCCTATAGGATATATAGCGTGGCACAGAAATATTTTAAAAGCATTCCTCTCACTTTACACGTCCATAAATAAAATTTGTTTCTAATGTCAACAGTAGAACTTTCCACCTATTCCCCAGGGACAGTCATTCCTGGACAACAATTGTGCAGCAGTTTTCCAAGGGAGAAATATGTTATCCAATTAGCTTTAAGAAGCAGAGCAGTGGCTCTGTGGCTAAGGATCTGTGCCTGTGGCTGGCAGAGGAATCCTATTCTTTTGGGCCCCTGAGCAAGGTCCTTCACCCCACCTGCTCCAGGGGTGCTGTATAATGGCTGACCCTGTGCTCTGACCCCCAGCTTCTCTCC